GCACTCAAGTAGCTTTGCCATAATTTATTAACTTAACCATCTCCATACATCTACTGATTATCGAATTGCTGTCATAGAAAATAGCTGGAATTTTATGTACACTGTGTTATGAAAGCTTCGGTTGATCTTTACAATATGGTAACTGGTAGTTTGGCGACATTTTGGAGGCGATAAAGGTTAATACCTGGGACTTTGGTAATAATGTGAGCAGTACTCAGTTCCGATTACGCATTATTTTGTGTGGGGGAAATGAGAGATCATGGGATATGTCACGTGATATTAATGGACGAATTACGGTTCTTTAATCGGAAAAAGGGGGGAATTTGGACAAGTATCTGTGGATGTATATTATTTTGTATTAAGCTTCATTGTGTGTTGTGTGAAAGTAGGATTGAATAATTTTGGGATTGTATGGCGCTGTCTAAAGTGAATTGTAGATGTGATAAAGAGAATTTTTTTTTTATCAAATTCTATCAAATTCGGAAAAAAAATCGTTCAGTAATTTTATTGAATCCATAATAAAAGTGTATCCACCATGTAAGGAAGATTCGGAAGAAGATTAGGTTAGTTAGACTTTATTAAGAATGTGAGTAGTATTCAGTTCTGATTACGCATTATTTTGTGTGAGGGAAATGAGAGATCATGGGATATGTCATGTGATATTAATGGACAAATTACTGTTCTTTAATCGGGAAAAAATCTGGCAATTTTGTATTTGGCTTTATTCTGTGTTGTGTGAAATAGTGTTTGTGAATTTTTGGATCCCATGGCCGTAACTAAAGTGAATTCGAAATGGGTATTTAGTGGTATTGAAAAGGATAGTAATAAATGTTTTTTAAGGTTGTGCGAGAGAGAAATAAAGATGTTTTATTATGTTATTTATTTTACCTGGTATCTTGCTTTGAAAGATAAGTATGATTTTAAAGATTCTGAAACAGAAGGAAGAAAAGTGTATCCGCCACGTAATCAAGATTCTGAAGAAGATTAGGTAATTAGTATTTTTAATTATTTGAGGATATTATTTTTATGCATTGTTGTAAATGTAAGGTGGAAAAGGAATTTGGTATTATTGGGAAAATTGTTATTAGCAATGATTTAGTTTAAAGTAATCAGGATTGTAAGGTAATTTTTATTAATTTAATGTATGTGCTCATTTATATTTTAAGTAGTGTTTTTGAATTTAATTATATTTTAATGAAATGATAGTTATTTTGTGAATTTTATGTTTGTAGGAATTTGGTATACGTTTAAGTTGAAATAAACGTGCATGGAAATAATTTAAATATTTGATATTAAGTATTTGTAATGCTTGAGGTATGAATTCGTTGGTGACGTGTATAATGTAATGATGATTTAGAAGTAAAAGTTTTTGGATATTCTATTTATTTTATATGTGGAAATGTTGATATTTGTAAAGGGTAAATACTTTTTCGTGATCATGTAATTTCATATATGTTCTTTTTACCGGGTTTAAAGATTGAGAAAATTGTCATGTATTTTCGTGAAATTTTTTTAATTTATGAGAAAAAGCAGTGTACATGGATATAGTGAAGAGTGTGCGCAATGCCATTTTTGTGCAATTCTGGGATGTTTTTTTAAGTAAAAATAAGTCGACGTGTACATGGTTTAGTGATATTTTAATGAAATGATAGTTATTTTGTGAATTTTATGCTTGTAGGAATTTGGTATACGTTTAAGTTGAAATAAACGTGCATGGAAATAATTTAAATATTTGATACTAAGTATTTGTAATGCTTTCGGTATGAATTCGTTGGTGACGTGTATAATGTAATAGATGATTTAAAGTTTTTGGATATTTTATTTATTTTATATGTGGAAATGTTCATATTTGTAAAGGGTAAATACTTTTTCGCGATCAGGTAATTTCATGTATGTTCTTTTTACCGGGTTTAAAGATTAAGAAAATTGTCATGTATTTTCGTGAAATTTTTGTAATTTATGAGAAAAAAGCAGTGTACATGGATATAATGAAGAGTGTGCGCAATGCCATTTTTGTGCAATTCTGGGATGTTTTTTTAAGTAAAAATAAGTCGGGGTGTACATGGTTTATGTGTATGTGTTATTTTGAAAAATACGTAAGGAGGATGGTATTGTGCAGTTTTTCCTAATTTTGCAGTGAATATTTGTCATGATTAAGCAGTTTTGTTTGATAAAATTTCTAGCATAAGTGTAATTCGGCTAGTAGATTGTTGGAAGAAGTGTTCAGGAGATAAAAAGAAAAGAAACATGTCTTTACTTCGTGAAGACAAAATGGCGGCGGGGAAAAAAAATAGAGGGTTGCTGTAGGAGAGTTGGTCGCCAAATTTTCGCCAAAAAATCGCCAAGTTACCATAATGTAAAGATCAACCAAAGCTTCTTTTAAGATGAGTTTGTTCTGTCAAAACTGAAAGCATAGATTTGCTTAGTAATTCTTTTATAGATAATGTCTTATATATATCTTTTGTTGCTGTTAGTGATTTTTAAGTCATTTGTAAATTGTCTTACTACTTTTAAGTTTCTTCTTTTAATAAGTCTTCACGCTTAGTCCTTAACTCTATGGCCCATGAAAAATTCTCACGTCTGGTTCTGCTCAGTGGCATAAATAAGAGCTTGTGCGACCCCTATGCAGGAAAAAAAAAAAAAAAAGTTTGGGTCCCCTCCCCTCCCCCCGCTCTCTCATTTTTTACGACACTCCAAGAAAAAAGAGGAAAAAATATCTAGACCTTTTCAATCATGATGAATTTTGTTGGGGTTAGATTAATTATTAAACAGTATAAGTATGTATTTATAGGGTAATAAAATTGAACTCATGTCACAGAATATTTTTGCAAGAAAAATTATAAAGTATCCCTCCTTGTTTTGTCTCTTTTTCTATTTTCAAGTAACATAATGTAAGGAGAGAGGAAACTCTATCCTCTTTCCTGTTGTTAGTTTGTTTTTAATTCAATCAAATTTTTTAGATTTTTTTTTTTCATTGGGGCATGTATCAAAGGCAAATATAGTCTATGGAAGAAAGAAATATGCCATATAATATATGCAAACTATAGGATTAAAGGTAAAAGCCCTAAATTAGCAGAACTTTTATGTACAATTTAATTTTGAATTTTATGTGAAATTTGCATCAATCCTTAGTTTCTTTATCACAATTATTTTTATTTACTACTTTTAAGAAGTGAATAAATTACTGGTACTGACTAGCAGACAGACAGCACTGTAGTTAAACATTCAAGAAATTATGGCAGCACTGCACCATACTTATTTCACAGATATAAAAAAAAAAAATTGTTAAATATAAATAAATAAATATGAGCCTTCTTATAATATTAAAATACGTCTAACGCTGAAACATACATTTATGTTCAAAATTTCATAAACAAAATTGTTTGATAGTATGATTTTAAAGGTATTGAAGTTTTTTGATTTCCTCCCCATTTAATTTCCATAACTCCATAATACAGTCAAAAGTCGTTAATCCGGACTCGTCGGGACTTCGGCGATTCCGGATTATCGATTTTTCCGGATTATAGATCATCAGTTTAATAATTAATTATAATCATCAGTTTAATAAAATAAAAACATCTGCCCTGAAGATAAGAATAGTGCTGACAGATCAACTTCCAATCCGTAGCGTGAAATTGATAAACAGATTTCGGATTTCAAAACATACTTTCGCTTTGTAGATACAAATTACATATTAGTAAATATATATCGGAAATTCTATTTGACATAATCTTTCTAATCTATCATAATCTAATAATGACGTTTCTGCCCCCCCCCCTCTGCCGCAGAGCAGCGTGAAATTGATAAACAGATTTCGGATTTCAAAACATACTTTCGCTTTGTAGTAAATATATATCGGAAATTCTATTTGACATAATCGAAAGTTCAAGCTTACTTTTATAAAATTGCTCTAACAGTCTGCAAAAAATAATAAGCCGGATCCATTTCGAAGATTAAGGAACAACGCAATCTGCAACAACTGAATTAGATAACTTTAGCTTAGCGTATAACTCCGTTACACATTAAACGCGCATGCGCACAAACATATTCGCAGCCGTAAGGGTCTTACGCGCTCTCGTAAACGCCTGTGCGCATGCAGAAAGTTTGTAGCTTTGAGGTCCGGGTTATAGATCATTCCGGATTATGGGTGTCCGAATTAACGACTTTTGACTGTATTTCTAGGTTAAGTATTATTACTTGAAGCTAAATTAAGGAATTTTTAGGTACAAAATTGTTTCAGTTTGAAAATTTGAAACTGAAATGTTATAATAGTGTAATTTTTTAAATCATAATTAAATGAAAATTCTGTTTCATTCATGAAAAATAATCAAACATTATTATTAAGTACTTATACTCGATAGTTTTGCAAATGTGGAACAGCAATACTGATTTCTTCTGAAATAAGAAACTGAACAAAGCCTAAGATGGCTCAACCTCAAGCTGTACTAGAAAAAGTGATCAGAATATCAAAGAGAGAAAGCATTATTCTAGAGCCAATTCACAGCAGTATACTTTATAGCATCATTGATGACTTTAGTGTGTAGTTCTACCAAACTGATTTAAAATACACAGGAAGATCCATTTACGCCATATGTTTCATCAACAACTGTTAACAGGTCCTCGGGGGAAAAAGTTAGACAAAAAGACTAGAAACCTTTTGCAGCAGCCACTTCCATAAACTCTAAAAGTGACCATTATTATTTTTTTTTTAAATGAACAAATTTAACACATTATTGCCGGTCATATTCTCTCAGGTGATGATTCAAGTAATCACATCTATGGAGAGCAAAGGTATTGGGAGCCATAAGTGGTCGTTTTCAAGAATTCTCTGCATATAATTTCTAAGAACAGAAGATAAGTAGATGGGAGAGTATGACAGAATTTAAAATATCACTTTCTTTTTCAGTTTGTTACTTCTAAGTAAAATGAATTGATAAAAATATTACTTATTTGCACTAACTTTAATAATCAATTTTGGTTGACTACCCTTTTCTATTAGAAAAAGCTTATATCTCCAGATCACTGTGGTATGGGGCAACCAGGTCCACCGTCCATATGATCTGCCTCTGTCTCATGAGATAGTAACTGCGCATTATCAGTACATGTTTCTATGAAAAATTCATAATTTTCAGAAGGGTATGAATGTAGTCATTTTTTATGATTTAAAATTAAGTACAGTTGTAGTTATGATAAAAACTTTGAACAAATTATTCACCATATTATAAATTTCTGTTAAATATAGATTATTATCACAAAATTTATTTTATTTTATTTGTTGTCTAATATCTAAAAGCTTACCTACCTTAAGAAAACCTATACTGTTTATCTAAATAGTTTATTCTGTAACTTTTCTTTAGTTTAGGAAAGTGATATTTATATATCTCAGTTTTAAGGTAGACACACTGGGAATAGTATTAGTACAGTTGATTCTTATTATAGTGGCCATTCCATTACAATGATCAGTACAAAAAGTTCAACTGCATATTAAATCAATGACCAGTTCAACTGCATATTAAATCAATGACCAGTTCAACTGCATATTAAATCAATTTTTGCCATAGTGATGACATGCTATAATGCTCTTTTTCTGTTGGAGGGGCGGCATTGTTATAATGAGTATCACTGGCATAAATGAAACAATAATGATCATTAAAAAATAGCATTTGGTATTAGGTAAAGAAATAAGACAATTTTCTTAAATATATCAGCTATTATGGTATTTGGGGAAAACATTTAGTCGAAAACTATGAAAAGTAGAAATTAGAATTTTAAACAGAATGAAAAGGAATTAAAATGTTTTTATTTATTTTTAAAATTGTATTGAGCATTGCACTACATGAGAGTTATGTGAATAATTTAATTAGCTAATCAAATTTTAAAAGCAATAATGCATATGTAGTCGATAAGTCTCCAAGAGCATTATTAATCTTTATCCTAATCTCCTTTTTGTGTATGTGAAAACATTTGATGTGAGGCAATAACGAAAAAAAATGTTTTTTGGACTTCTGCACTGAAAAAATCTAATGACTTACTGAGGATCTTGACGTCCCATACTTTGTTTTTGCAGTCCTTGTCACAGGTTTGTCTCCAGAAACTCGGAAATTGCTTTCACGATAAGCCTGATTATTAAACTGTCACAACTGCAGAATCACTAAAGGCCTGTATCATTTATGATTTGAAAGTGCTTGTGTCGTGAAGAATCAGAATAACAATATATGACTTTTTTTGTTCAAATTTACTTGCAATAGACCTTTGTATAGTTTCTTTTGTGTGCAGTTCCTGGTGCTGATTATCTAGAAGTACACAAAAACAAAATTGGAACAAAAGTTAAGGGCTTGAAAGGAAAGAAGTATAAGGAACCCCATATTGTCCTTGTCTTGAATTGTATGATATTCTACTTTTACTTTTTATATATGTGTTTATGAAAGCAAGAGTGCCAGTCTTTTTCTGTTTCTCCTCTAAATTTAGAATTTTAACATGAAAATCGAGTTCAGCAGAACCCTTCCAATGCTTTGGGCTTTTATGCAGCTGTGTACCTTGCACGCCCCTATTTACGTTACTAGTTCTGTTAATGATCTGTAAATTTATATTCCTGTACTTTGTATAAAATATGTTACTTAGCTTTTACATATATTCACAAATGAAGTATTTAGCATTTCGTTTGCCTTTTACAACAAACAATAGTGCATTAACAAGCTAAAAGGATATGGTTTTCTTTGACAGAAAGAGGAAGTATATTAAAGATTTAAGTTAATGTTTCATAATAAGTTCTATTGGACTTGTAGATGTGAATATTAGTTCCTGTACCTTCCTTTCTCATTAAACCAGAATCAATAATTATTTCCAAGATCATGGAGATTAGGTTCATTATTCCTTCCTTTATAAACTCTTTAATTATGTAGATATGCAGTTCATGGCTTTCTTAATCACTTTGCATGAGTGTGGTTGTTTTCTAAAACTCTTGTATTAATTAGCATTTAAAACAGGGTTGCCACGCTACCTGGAAAACCGGGAGAACCGGGAAAAGTCAGGGAATTCGAAAATTGACCAAAATATTCAGGGAAAAGTCAGGGAATTTAAGTATTTTTGTCAAAATCTGGAAAAGTCAGGGAAGTTCATACAACGATCCCGCCAAAAAAAGCGATTTTTGCGCCGACGTCGGAAGAGAGAGGTAACTTTTTTGGCGAATTATGTATCACGTGAGTGTCATTCGGGTAGCTGGCATAGAGCCAATTTTTCGCAGCTCCAATTTGATTGTCTTTTAGAAAGGCAAAGCAACTTTCCCGCAACTTTTGGTTTCCAGTATTCTCGAGAATCGCATGTGCAGTGCATGAACTAAAGAAAGTACCTGTTCTCGTATAAAACAAAATGGGTTTAATCCTAGTATATGGTACTATGGAGGTTAGAATCAAAGAATATGTATTGTAAAGAAGGAAAACCTCTCTGCAACAGACGTGGCTGTGGCTCCGTTCCATCATTAGAGGGAAACAGCTGTGCATGTCTGATATATCTGTCACCAAAGCTCGAAACCGGTGTCGAAGTTCGAAGGTCACGTTATCAAGAGTTTATAAAATGAATATCGTTTAAAATTTCTTTAACCACTTGCGCTAAAAAGACGTGCCACGCACGTCAAGATGCTTTTGTCTCAAACCGCGAGCGACGTGAACACCACGTCGATAAGCATTTATCGCAAAAATGAAAATAACGTGGTGCACATGTCGCCTAACAACGAGATTGTTTATTTCTCGAGTTACAGCTCTGGATTGCACTCGCAGATGCGGACCGGCGTAAATGAGACACTTTACCGCTTGTTATATTGTAGCGCACGGCACCGCAACAGTGAAGTTTAGTCTTAGCGCAAGTGGTTAAACTCTAAAGGAAAAGAAAATATTTTTTGGCGCAAGTAAATTAATTCATGGATTAGTTATTTTCAGAGAAAAAAAAAAAAAAAACTACGAAAATCCGTTTTTAAAATTATTGCGAAAAATCCAAGAAGAAACGTCCTTTGATAAAACGTTTCTTCTTGGATTTTTCGCAATAATTTAAAAACGGATTTTCGTAGTTTTCTTTTTGTCAAAGAGCGTTTCTTCTTAACACGTGTTTCTCAATTTCCTGTACACATCGCGGAGAGAGAAATTCTGACCGCCAGGTTCCGTCGCCAAATCTCTTGGCAAAATTTCCCTCCGCATTCCCTCCGCGGCGTAATAGCATTTTACTTGTATGGAACCTTTTCTTCTTTACATAGACGTTCTTTAGTTAGAATAATAATGGGATTTGGCGACATCTTGATGCGCAGTAAACGGGTCATTTTGGTCTTGGCGACAATTTTCAAAATCGTGCCAAAGCCTTACCGTATACTAGAATTTTACCGCAAAATCTTTTTTAACCCTTTTTTTTTTTTTTTCTTTTTAATAAATACCTTGCCATTTTGCAGTAAAATAAAAAAATAGTAATCACTCATCTAGGCTAGCCATGTAATATAACTATATTCGCTAAAATATAGATGATTATTCTAATTCAATTTTTAAGTAATTATTTTTATGTTATTCATATAATTTAATGTTGCTTCTTCCCTCTAAATTTATTTATTATTAGTTAATAATATTTCCAAATTTCAGGAAATTTTCTCTGGCATAATCCTGAAATTAATTATAGCAGTATGATGACATACCATCACGAAATTTAATGCACATATTTTTTCCTTATGTATGCTGCAAAATAAATATAAAATACCTCAATATATTAAAATAGATTTCTTTCTTTCGTTTAGGTGCAGAATGTCTGCAAAAAAAGCCTTATTTTATTCCAGATTGGGAAGATTCTAATCTCAATCTTCAGTGGAGAAAACAACAACTATTATAATTATATTTGTGTTTTTCAAGTGTTAAGGTTTTTAAGAAAATACCTCACGCAAATTAAATTTACCTAAAATCTAACCTAACTATTTAGCATTGCGTTGTGATTTATAAGGACCGGATTAGCCTCGTGTTGAACTGGTGATGATCATGAGTAATAATTAAATAAAACATACATTTGTTATCCAATATAATATATCTTAAATTTTATTAAGTTTCTTAAGTGGAAAACTAAACAAAATTATCAAAACAAAGTATACCAAGAATAATTAAGAATAAATGTCCTCTGGGATTTATTGAATAATTAAGTGAGTTTGCTACACAATACAAGTAATACCATAATTAATTTACCTCTTAGCACAGCCAACGTACATTACGTGGATAGACTGGAATTTTCTTGAAACACACCTGGAAAACCTGGAAAAGTCAGGTAATTTCATTCTCCTGTTTGAGTGGCAACCCTGTTAAAAGTGCAATGCAAAGAAATTGTCAGTTATTTTACAAGTGCAGTTGCTAATTTTATTAGGAATATTATATAAAATATTGCATAAAATGCTATTTGCTTTACAAATACTGTCTGTATATTTATTTGGAAATACGTATTAGAAACTACTGTTTTTATTGTCGATACACATTACCTGCTCCAAATATGTTATTGACCTAATTAATGGAGATATACCACAAACAGTATAAAAACCAAGTAATGCTAGATTTTTAAAATTTTTGTCACACTCATGCTTGATTCATATCATTTGGTACAGTGTTAAACATGAAATATATGGATCAAGCACCATTTGAGCAAAAAAATGAAATTTCTATTTCAAACCTTGTAGCATTATGGCTGTTTGGATATGTGCATGAAGAGATGGGGTTTAAACAGCATTTATTTGCTTAATATGAAATACAATCATTTAATATGAAAATGATATATTGGTGAAATAAATATGTGAGAAAAATTTAAAGAACCTGGAAGTAGCTTTGGCATTATTGCCATTGTTATAAACGTAAGAACTTGAACTTCTCTTTCAAATTTATCCAGTCTGTTTTAAAAGAACTGAGTAGTTTAAAAACAGTATTTTGCAACTTCATGAAACAAATTACCTTTAGTTATTTTTTTTTTTTTTTTTCATTATTTTTCAAGTTGTCTCATTCTTTTATTGATTAACAAGCTGAGTCATTTAAAAACAATATATACAGTTTTTAATTATTTAAATCTTTGTGTAACTTAATTCATCTAAGTTGTCTTAAGCTGTCAAACAAAACTGGTTGGCTCTTGTATGC